ACCTTGAAAGTTCTATTATGAGACATATGAGCTTTCAAGATTAACCTTCCATTTGCATCGATGAATCTCATCATCTTGTCTTCGACTGTCACCTTGTAGTTCTTTTCGACCAACTGCCATATACTAAGTAAATTGTTCTTCATGCCCAGTATGTACAATACATTGGAAATTACTGACCTTTTGCCATCTTTCGTCATAATCAAAACATTTCCAATACCTTCAGCTGCTAGAGTATTATCGTTTTTTAATTTCGTTGTGTTCTTCGTTGATGATTTTAAATTGACAAACCAATCTTTCCTTCCAGACATGTGTGATGAGCATTATGAATCTAAGTACCATTGATCCTTGAATTTTTCTTCATCTCTTGTTGTAACCATCAGCAACATCTCCTCTTCTTCATACTTTGTGAACTTTGCATCACTTTCTTGATTCTTTCACTTTTTTAGAAAATCACTCTAATAGTGACCATACTTCTGACAATTGAAACACTGAATGTGACTCTTATCAGGTTTTCGACCACCACCTCTTCCTCTATTTGCAACACCACCTATTTGGTTGCCTTGGTATGGTCTTCTCTGATTCAACGTCTTTTTTTCGTGTTGATTTCTTCTACCAGTCTAATTGTTGTAGCCACCTTTACCTTTATTGTCGAACCACTTTCCTTTGCCTTTCTCATTTCTTGTTGATTGAGCCTGCAAAGACACATCACTCTTTGACTTGTCTGCATCTCTTTCAGTTATTCTTTGTTCGTGAGATACAAGCGTTCCTTGAAGCTCTTCCTTCGAAAAAGATGACATGTCCTTTGACTCTTCTATGGAAACTACCACATGGTCGACCTTCAGAGTCAAAGATCTCAAGATATTCGAAACAACAACTTTTGTTGTTAACGTCTCTCCACAAGTCTTGATTTGATTCACTAGTTTCGTAACCCTAGTGAAGAAATCCGATATGCTTTCGCTATCTTCTATCTGAAGCAATTCATATGTTATATTGTGAGTTTGTAACCTCACCTCTTTCACCTTCTCAGCGCCTCCAAACAGTTTCTTCAGAATCTCCCAAGCTTCTTTTGCAGATTCAACATCACTAACCTTTTCGAAATTTTCTGGGCTGCCACATTGGTGAATTATAAAGAGAGTTTTATAATTCTTCCTCTTCGATTCTCTGTATGCAGCTTCTTCTTCCTCTGAAGCGTCTTCATCAAGTGATTCTAATCCATGTTTCACAAGATCCCAAAGACCTTGAAAACAAAATATAATCTTCATGTGTTTGCACCAATTCTCATAGTTATCACCTTTAAGAATTGGAAGACTTGCTAGAAAATTTCCGTTAGCATAATTCATCGCCATCATGATCTTCTTCTTCTTCCTCAATCGTTCTTGATCGTTCTTCCCTTGAATCACTCAACCGGAGCTTTTGATACTAGATGTTGGAAATCCACCAAAACCTATGATGAACTTCTATCAATCTTGATGAACAAGATTGATATCACCACACAATGACAATGAAAAATAAAAGATGAAGAAAGAAAGTATTTTTCTGCAGAATTTCGCTCTGCCTACAAACAATGGAAAACTTTATTATTCACTTGCAACTGCAAATTCTGTTAATGAATGAATTGAATTGATTACAAAAATAGGGGTTACTCCCTATATTTATAGATTTAGGTTAGCTTTCTCCATAAGCCAAAACCCAAAACTATGAAAGTCCAAAATACCTATTTTGGAACTAAATCGAATCTATTCTATTTTAGTCCTAAATCAAATCTTATCTTCTAAATCTAAAACAAATATGTGTGTAACAAACTATTTCCACACTTCTAAATCAAATTAAATCTTTTCAACACTCTCTCGTCTCTCTCGAACAAACTGCTTTGACACAAACAATTACTTTCAACAGTATGATCTTCTAAAGGACGGTTCATGTAATCTATCATAGAAATGAAAACGTGTGAAGCTAATAAAGATTATGGAAAATTTTGGTCATTGACAAGGAGAACTTGTTCAGATCTTGGAAGATTAACACATTAGCATCATGACCTATTTTGAAATAGATATGATACTAAACTTTGAATCGACCTCTTCTGTCACAATTAAAGTTTTATGACCACCACGAATAACACAATTTTCATTGAATTGAAATCCATTCCACTGCTGAGGTGTATAATTAGGATCTGAAATAGGTTGAGACAAAAGATTAGTTATTGATATAATGCATTGAGTAATGTTAACTGAAAGAGGTTCAACTAACATGATTTATTGCATCTTATCAAATTTAGTCTCATGTGAGAGTAACAGTGACTCAACTGCAATTATTGGACACATAACAATAATATATTGATTAATGGATGCAAGAGAACTATAATCATCTAATAATCCTTCTAAGATATCTTCTAAGTGATCATGATTTAATACTGAATCAACAATAAAATCAATCACATCAACAATTTTTTGAATGCTGGCAAGGAAGCACAGTGTTGGGCAACGTCATGAGAAACCATGTGAAGAGGAATGAATCACATTGCTCCCACTGTGATTTATCCAAGATTATCGACTTCACTCTTGTGATCGTCTTCATTGAGATATTGCAAAGGAATTGCTGGATTTAACATATATCAATGGAGTTTATGCATGTGTATGATACCTTTGATTTGTTGCTTCCAGGAATGGAAATTATCTTCATCTAGTTTGAGCGTGATTTGTTGTGCAAACGTCTTTAAAGATGTTCTTTGAGTTGAGACAATACCATATTACAAAGAGAGAAATTAAAGTAGAGAGATAGTTTATATTTATATTATTTGACATTTTCAAATGAGAGTTAGTTACATAATTCATGAATGTGCATTTATATGATGTAACTATGTGTTGACTCAACACCCAATTAATTACACTTTGTTATAGTTTGTAATAAGTCTGGTAGAGGCTGTTTGGCTAGACTACACTAGCAGAATCTCTTCTAAATTATATTTTTGTCTTGATGCTTCATCCAGAGGTACTGTTTAATGTGTCATGGTCCTTTTTACATATTGTTGATAACATATTAACAGGCAAGCTCTTTATATTCGTTTGTCCTCAGAATACTCTTTCAAAGAATTTGAACCATCTTCAGCTCCAATGGATTCATCCACAGGCATATCTGCAAACCCTTTGGAAGAAATTAGTAAATTTAGCAGCTCGAAATGCACAAACCTATAATTAAAATTTTATTTATCATGGTAAATTTTTAAAAACTTTATAAACATTTAAAACTATGTCTGAATCTTTATCTTAACCACCTGTGGGAAATATTTATGCGGTCAACGTAGAAAAATATGATAAGACTGAATGGAGAGGGACCAACCAAATTTCATTACAGAAAAAACACATGAAAATGAATGTTAGTGCAATTTTATACCATTATTACTTAACAGAAATTTAATATGATATGTCTTCTCAAGGCAAAATTCAATGTGAAAATTCCACAAAAAATAATGAAAATCTAGCTCTCTGACACCTTCAATTTGATATTAAACTTTATTTGGTCTCTAAAAGTCTTTCTCTAAAACTGGAATAAAACCAGAAGGCAAAAAGTGTTTATATACACACAAGGATTTTCCTCATTCAGGCCTGTCTAAATGACCATATCGTCTTTGCCAGTATTGTGAAGCTTCATATCGTGTTCTGAAATTCCAGATGTGTGGCTTTGATTTCTCGTGAGCTTCGAGGATTTCCTGCATGCAGACATACAACTTGTTAATCCAAGAAAATGTGTAAAGTTGTTTGAGGAAAAACACAATTCAAGAGTGTTGTTTTCATTAAACTACTTGTACATTATGATCATATTAAATTTATATGTAGTTCTAAAATTGACTAACTATAGTTTTATAATTGTGATTGGGCCTAACTCAACCTTACAAAATCAGCTTGTAAGGCAAGGATTGTCCCACTTATAAACATATGTTAAGACCATATATTGTCTGATGTGGAACTCTTAACATATAGTAACTAGTAGTAAAAAAAATTAACTGCCGCTAACAACTAACTGATAACTAACATAACTATAATCAAAGAAATTAACCTTTATTATAATCTGCAATAAAAACATAGATAAACTACCATGCCTGATCAGTTAAACCATGCAACTGGTGCATGGTAAAATGATGGATATAAAAACAAGAGCAACATTAAAGAGCTCTTGTCAATTTCATAGTGCTTTCACCATTCACAGAAGAGCAATAAGGGCATCATATAGAAAGACAAAAGTAGAAATGAAGAGACTTTGTAATAAGACAGAGTTGAAATGGTAGTTTCTTAACTCTCTTCTAGCAACAAACATGAAATAACAAAATGCCAAAATTTTAGTACAAACAGTAAGGCACCCCTATATTGATGATTTTAAGCATTGCACTGTCAAATATCCATTTTACGTCCCAACTAGGTCGTGGACGTGGGAGGTCGTGGACTTAATCCAACAATAGAGCCATACCTAGTTGGAAACCCAAACAAAACACCATCAGCAGCCAGAAGCTCCTCGGGCGAAATCACCGGAATAGTTTCATCTTTCGGCAGTGCTTTCATCTGATTCAAGACCTCAATCGACAATGTCTCAGGTACTCTGTACAGAACTCCCTCCACACCTTTGACGGAGGATGGCCAGGGAAGATCTTAGGCGCAAGATGGTGAAGTCTGGTTGGGCAGAGCCTGGGCAACTGCCCTATCTGGCCGTATGCTGGCTCCGCCACTGATTGGCTTTATGTAAAAGAATAATTTTTGAACCGTGTTACTCGTACCCACCCAACAAGTGTTTCTTTATTGGGTTTTGCTGTTATGATGGGTCCCCCAACAAATGTCATTTATTGTCCGCATTGTTGCGTGATGGGTCTACCTATATCGTTGGCTATTGTCCATTAATTTGTTGTCATTGTTCAACAAAAACATTAGATCTAGGGTTTTTGGGAGATTGTTTTGTAAAGCCCCAAAATCTAATAAGCTATTGGATGCTTCAATTTTCAGATAGTTGCAGTTATGTCGTCAGAGAAGGAAGCTTCAAGCTCCAAAGAGAAACGCAGCCTATCGTGCACTGCTCACTTTGATGCCCTCTGGTTCTGCTACTGTAATCGCCATTCACTAAAAACTTAAAAAATGCCTCTTTTTCATATGGGTCATCCATCCCAGTACTGATACAGGTTGTGTGTTTAATGTGTGCAGCCCCGGTTCATCAAATGCAGCAGTATTACAGGCTTGGTGTTCTTGATAACTGTTCTGCTAAATGGAAAGCAATGGTTGACTACTTAATGCTCAAGACCAAACCCAGTTCTCAAGTCGAGGTTGGTTCCTATTTCTTCCTCATTAATTTGTAGCTGATATATGTTGAAAATGTTTAAATACATTGGGTTAAATATTCTTTGAACATGGTCCTCTTTGCTGTATTTGAGAGCACCTTTGCTTGTGTTTGGGAAAATTGAAGAGTATGTGTGGTTTTGCTATTTTTGTTTTCCAACTCTATTTGTATGGATGTTATAGCCACTGTGCATTTTTTTTATGTGGGCTTGGAGGATTTTGCACAACATATTTGCCACCTTACTGGCGCACAGAAAGTTAGATACCACCCCATTGCATGTCTTGACTCTTGATTATTCCCACAAATTATTCTACTGTTTGATTACCTCAATAGAACAATTGATATGCTGTGTGGTTTCATCCTTCATGTATTGGATACCTCAACATATTTCCCACCGAGTGAATGTGTGTGTTCTTGTGGCCTGAAAGAGCAAAACCGAGATCGTAAAATGGATATTTGACAGTGCAATGCTTAAAATCATCAATATAGGGGTGCCTTACTGTTTGTACTAAAATTTTTGCATTTTGTTATTTCATGTTTGTTGCTAGAAGAGAGTTAAGAAACTACCATTTCAACTCTGTCTTATTACAAAGTCTCTTCATTTCTACTTTTGTCTTTCTATATGATGCCCTTATTGCTCTTCTGTGAATGGTGAAAGCACTATGAAATTGACAAGAGCTCTTTAATGTTGCTCTTGTTTTTATATCCATCATTTTACCATGCACCAGTTGCATGGTTTAACTGATCAGGCATGGTAGTTTATCTATGTTTTTATTGCAAATTATAATAAAGGTTAATTTCTTTGATTATAGTTATGTTAGTTATCAGTTAGTTGTTAGCGGCAGTTAATTTTTTTTACTACTAGTTACTATATGTTAAGAGTTCCACATCAGACAATATATGGTCTGAACATATGTTTATAAGTGGGACAATCCTTGCCTTACAAGCTGATTTTGTAAGGTTGAGTTAGGCCCAATCACAATTATAAAACTATAGTTAGTCAATTTTAGAACTACATATAAATTAATATGATCATAATGTACAAGTAGTTTAATGAAAACAACACTTTTGAATTGTGTTTTTCCTCAAACAACTTTACACATTTTCTTGGATTAACAAGTTGTATGTCTGCATGCAGGAAATCCTCGAAGCTCACGAGAAATCAAAGCCACACATCTGGAATTTCAGAACACGATATGAAGCTTCACAATACTGGCAAAGACGATATGGTCGTTTAGACAGGCCTGTATGAGGAAAATCCTTGTGTGCATATAAACACTTTTTGCCTTCTGGTTTTATTCCAGTTTTAGAGAAAGACTTTTAGAGACCAAATAAAGTTTAATATCAAATTGAAGGTGTTAGAGAGCTAGATTTTCATTATTTTTTGTGGAATTTTCACATTGAATTTTGCCTTGAGAAGACATATCATATTAAATTTCTGTTAAGTAATAATGGTATAAAATTGCACTAACATTCATTTTCATGTGTTTTTTCTGTAATGAAATTTGGTTGGTCCCTCTCCATTCAGTCTTATCATATTTTTCTGCGTTGACCGCATAAATATTTCCCAAAAGGTGGTTAAGATAAAGATTCAGACATAGTTTTAAATGTTTATAAAGTTTTTAAAAATTTACCATGATAATAAAATTTTAATTATAGGTTTGTGCATTTCGAGCTGCTAAATTTACTAATTTCTTCCAAAGGGTTTGCAGATATGCCTGTGGATGAATCCATTGGAGCTGAAGATGGTTCAAATTCTTTGAAAGAGTATTCTGAGGACAAACGAATATAAGGAGCTTGCCTGTTAATATGTTATCAACAATATGTAAAAAGGACCATGACACATTAAACAGTACCTCTGGATGAAGCATCAAGACAAAAATATAATTTAGAAGAGATTCTGCTAGTGTAGTCTAGCCAAACAGCCTCTACCAGACTTATTACAAACTATAACAAAGTGTAATTAATTGGGTGTTGAGTCAACACATAGTTACATCATATAAATGCACATTCATGAATTGTGTAACTAACTCTCATTTGAAAATGTCAAATAATATAAATATAAACTATCTCTCTACTTTAATTTCTCTCTTTGTAATATGGTATTGTCTTAACTCAAAGAACATCTTTAAAGACGTTTGCACAACAAATCACGCTCAAACTAGATGAAGATAATTTCCATTCTTGGAAGCAACAAATCAAAGGTATCATACACATGCATAAACTCCATTGATATATGTTAAATCCAGCAATTCCTTTGCAATATCTCAATGAAGACGATCACAAGAGTGAAGTCGATAATCTTGGATAAATCACAGTGGGAGCAATGTGATTCATTCCTCTTCACATGGTTTCTCATGACGTTGCCCAACACCGTGCTTCCTTGCCAGCATTCAAAAAATTGTTGAAGTGATTGATTTTATTGTTGATTCAGTATTAAATCATGATCACTTAGAAGATATCTTAGAAGGATTATTAGATGATTATAGTTCTCTTGCATCTATTAATCAATATATTATTGTTATGTGTCTAATAATTGCAGTTGAGTCACTGTTACTCTCACATGAGACTAAATTTGACAAGATGCAATAAATCATGTTAGTTGAACCTCTTTCAGTTAACATTACTCAATGCATTATATCAATAACTAATATTTTGTCTCAACCTATTTCAGATCCTAATTATACACCTTATCAGTGGAATGGATTTCAATTCAATGAAAATTGTGTTATTTGTGGTGGTCATAAAACTTTAATTGTGACAGAAGAGGTCGATTCAAAGTTTAGTATCATATCTATTTCAAAATAGGTCATGATGCTAATGTGTTAATCTTCCAAGATCTGAACAAGTTCTCCTTGTCAATGACCAAAATTTTCCATAATCTTTATTAGCTTCACACATTTTCATTTCTATGATAGATTACATGAACCGTCCTTTAGAAGATCATACTGTTGAAAGTAATTGTTTGTGTCAAAGCAGTTTGTTCGAGAGAGACGAGAGAGTGTTGAAAAGATTTAATTTGATTTAGAAGTGTGGAAATAGTTTGTTACACACATATTTGTTTTAGATTTAGAAGATAAGATTTGATTTAGGAATAAAATAGAATAGATTTGATTTAGTTCCAAAATAGGTATTTTGGACTTTCATAGTTTTGGGTTTTGGCTTATGGAGAAAGCTAACCTAAATCTATAAATATAGGGAGTAAACCCTATTTTTGTAATCAATTCAATTCATTCATTAACAGAATTTGCAGTTGCAAGTGAATAATAAAGTTTTCCATTGTTTGTAGGCAGAGAGAAATTCTGCAGAAAAATACTTTCTTTCTTCATCTTTTATTTTCATTGTCATTGTGTGGTGATATCAATCTTGTTCATCAAGATTGATAGAAGTTCATCATAGGTTTTGGTGGATTTCCAACATCTAGTATCAAAAGCTCCAGTTGAGTGATTCCAGGGAAGAACGATGAAGAACGAGTGAGGAAGAAGAAGAAGATCATGATGGCGATGAATTATGCTAACGGAAATTTTCTAGCAAGTCTTCCAATTCTTAACGGTGATAACTATGAGAATTGGTGCAAACACATGAAGGTTATATTTTGTTTTCATGGTCTTTGGGATCTTGTGAAACATGGATTAGAATCACTTGATGAAGACGCTTCAGAGGAAGAAGAAGCTGCATACAGAGAATCGAAGAGGAAGAATTATAAAACTCTCTTTATAATTCACCAATGTGGCAGCCCAGACAATTTCGAAAAGGTTAGTGATGTTGAATCTGCAAAAGAAGCTTGGGAGATTCTGAAGAAACTGTTTGGAGGCGCTGAGAAGGTGAAAGAGGTGAGGTTACAAACTCACAATATAACATATGAATTGCTTCAGATAGAAGATAGCGAAAGCATATCATATTTCTTCACTAGGGTTACGAAACTAGTGAATCAAATCAAGACTTGTGGAGAGACGTTAACAACAAAAGTTGTTGTTTCGAATATCTTGAGATCTTTGACTCTGAAGGTCGACCATGTGGTAGTTTCCATAGAAGAGTCAAAGGACATGTCATCTTTTTCGAAGGAAGAGCTTCAAGGAACGCTTGAATCTCACGAACAAAGAATAACTGAAAGAGATGCAGACAAGTCAAAGAGTGATGTGTCTTTGCAGGCTCAATCAACAAGAAATGAGAAAGGCAAAGGAAAGTGGTTCGACAATAAAGGTAAAGGTGGCTACAACAATTAGACTGGTAGAAGAAATCAGCACGAAAAAAACGTGTTGAATCAGAGAAGACCATACCAAGGCAACCAAATAGGTGGTGTTGCAAATAGAGGAAGAGGTGGTGGTCGAAAACCTGATAAGAGTCACATTCAGTGTTTCAATTGTCAGAAGTATGGTCACTATTTGAGTGATTGTCTAAAAAAGTTAAAGAATCAAGAAAGTGATGCAAAGTTCACAAAGTATGAAGAAGAGGAGATGTTGCTGATGGTTACAACAAGAGATGAAGAAAAATTCAAGGATCAATGGTACTTAGATTCATAATGCTCATCACACATGTCTGGAAGGAAAGATTGGTTTGTCAATTTAAAACCATCAACGAAGAACACAACGAAATTAGAAAACGATAATACTCTAGCAGCTGAAGGTATTGGAAATGTTTTGATTATGACGAAAGATGGCAAAAGGTCAGTAATTTCCAATGTATTGTACATACTGGGCATGAAGAACAATTTACTTAGTATATGGCAGTTGGTCGAAAAGAACTACAAGGTGACAGTCGAAGACAAGATGATGAGATTCATCGATGCAAATGGAAGGTTAATCCTGAAAGCTCATATGTCTCATAATAGAACTTTCAAGATGGAACTTAATGTGATGGAGCACTAGTGACTTTCAATTGTAGCTAGCAGAGATGAGTGGATATGACACTATCAACTAGGTTATCTCAACTTCAGAGACATCCGAGATTTGAAGACAAGAAATACGGTTTCAGGATTGCAAGAAATTGATATTTCAAACGAGGTGTGTGAGGAATATGTGCAGGCGAAGAAACACAAGAATAGCTTCAGTAAGGATTCAGGAAGCAAGTCGAAGGTTGTCCTCAAATTTATATACCCTGATGTATGTGGACCAATTCAGGTGGCTTCGATGGGAGGTGACAAATACTTTGTTACATTCATAGATGACTTTATTCGAAAATTATGGACTTACCTGATCAAGAAGAAAAGTGAAGTAATCGAGGTATTTACCAAGTTTAAATATATGGTTGAAAGACAAAGTGATCGAAAGTTCGAAGTTTTGAGAATTGATGGTGGTGGAGAGTATGTGTCAAAAGACTTCGACAAATTATGTGAAAAAAAGGGATTGTACATGAGGTGGTGCCACCCTACACTCCATAGCATAATGGAACTGCAGAAAGGAAGAATCGAACCATCATGAATATGGTGAGAAGTATGATGAAAGGAAAACATTTACCTAAAGAGTTTTGGGGTGAAGTTGTGTCGACTGCAACATATATTTTGAACAGATGTACTACGAAGAAGCTAGAAGGAATTACTCCAGAAGAATGTTGGTGTGGTGTAAAGCCTAGCTTGAGTTATATAAAGGTATTTGGCTCCACTGCACATAGACACGTGCCAGATCAGTTGAGAAGAAAACTTGATGACAAGTCGAGTCAAATGATTCTAGTTGGATATCATTCGACATGATGTTACAAGTTGTTCAACCCAGTGAACAAGCAGATTATGATCAACAGAGACATGATCATAGATGAGCTTAAAGAATGGGATTGTGTCTATCTTCCGTATAAAAATCAGCAAGATATGCAAAACACTGAGCCAAGCAAATGGTGCTGCTTAATATCCAAAACACAGCAAAAGTCCTACCAATAGGAGTTGAGAAGCTCTTATCTCCATAACCTAAAGTCGTAACCGTCGAACAAACACAATAGAATGCATCGACGAAATCTAGTTTCTTAACAAAATACAGAAAAACAGTTCATGTAATCATGAGTGCAACAAAAGTGGATATTGAAAGCAGAAACTTGTATTTGCTTTTCTTAGTCACAAGTTCTTTAGAAACCTATTCTAGACCGAGTTTCTCGGCTTTGCATATTGCTTTAACAAGATACACTTCCTGTTTTTCAACATTGTAATCTGCTGCTTTGCTAAGAATCAAGCCACCAAGAGCCATACCAGTGAAGACATAAAACCTGGTCTTGAGAACAATGGTGCTAATGCGTTGTCCCGTCAGTTTGATACTTCCCCAAACA